TGGTTGTTGAGATGTGACTCACACGATTTGGAGTTGGTAGGATGATCTCCGGCACAATTCCCACAAACAGGCTTTATAAAACAACAATTTTGAGTGTGTCCAAAATTTTGGCATTTATAACACTGGACGAGGTCCTTATTACGAGTGGCCTTTTCCACGGTAACTCTGTGCCTTCCAATTTGCTTAATCTTTAACGACTCGGTGACATTTGGCGACATCTTGAGATTGACATAGAACAAATTTTGCCTTTCATCATTAGTTACGTCGGACATAGTTCCGCGCAAGCCAGGCTTTCTTGGGCAGTAAATATTTGCAACGTTGAAGCCTTTGTCCGTGAAGCAACGCTCTATTTCCTCCTTAGGGACTGTCGAGTGTATGTTCCTTATCACCAGCTTAAATGGCTTGTCCTCACGGAGTTGATGATGCCAAAACTCGCAATTCAAAGCAGTCAGGCTACGAACTACCTTGCGGAAAGAATCGGCACTGTCAGTGTATATGCGAGTAATTCCGAATTTGGATGTACGTATCTCATACTTATCTGCAGAGATGATTTCATCTAGGGTTCGTTCTAGAGTGAGGATATTGGTAACTTTTGGAACACATATGGGCGGAGGTTTCGGCTTCATCAAATCAGGTTGGCTTGAACTTTGAGCTTGGCTATTGGGATCAAACGTCTCCTCATTTGTCTCCATCTCCTCAATAGAGTTAACTTCCTCAGCTAAAGGGGCGAAGCGGTTGTTGCGAAGTCCATTGGACGTCGAAGCCTGACTGGATTTACCGATTTTGGCATTATTTACATTGGCTTTGCTCTTCTTTATGTTGGCTGGTTCCTTACTGCAGTTTGAAGGGTTCCGTTTCCTGCGAAGAGAAGTACTTGGTGCTTGAAACGAGCACCCGATAGGGGGCACTGTTGAGAAGTTATTAACCCCCAAAGACAATTCTGCTGTAGAAACTGGAGTCATACATGAAGAAGCTGCAACGGTGTAAGTGGTGGTGCCAGAACTGGCACTTGTTGCTGTAACGGTGTTAGTTACAGGTGTTGCTGAGCTGGTTTTAACAGCATCTGCGTTTTGTTGCCGTAGAGTGTCCAAATGCCGTCGAGCCAAATCTCTTGCAAGCTTGACTCGTAGTTCCGCTGGAGATTGGCCAGCGATTTCCTTCATCTTCTCAAATCCGGACAGCTCTTTCGAGAGCAGCGGATAAGAAGGTGTGTTGTTGTCCATTTATTAATTTACTATATTTTCGATTAGGAAAATAATAGAAATCAAATACAATAAATTCAAAGTCTTTACTTCTTATCTCCCGCTGGGCAGTGGGTGCACAAGCGAGAGACAAGACCTAGCCCAATGGGCAAAGTCGTACACAACGCTTACACTTTCGCTCGGGTGATAAATTGATCGAGCTCGGTAAAGACACCGGCGGGCGGTGTCTAAAAATAGATTGCGCGCAGATAAGCACAACAAAAGAAGTCCGAGATCACTCTCTGGTTGCTGATTAGAAGCTTAACACGACCGTACCAAACCAATGCATAAGCTCGACTGAATATACTCAGTAAACGATTTAGGTGTTCTCCTAGATCCTAAACTTAAATTTGACTCCCACATAACCTCTACTGTAAATAAAGCTATGAGTGTTCTTGGGTTTATAAAGCGTTGGTCTAAAGAATTTGATGATCCATACACTACCAAATTATTATTTACCTCACTTGTCCTCAGTATCAAGTGCACATTGACCGTATAGAGTCCGTACAGAAACAATTTCTTCTTTTTGCCTTACGTGGTTTGAACTGGGATCAAAACGTCAGGTTGCCTTCTTACTCGAGTAGATTGCTATTAATTAATTTGCCTTCTCTAGTAAGCCGTAGAATTATGCTTGGTACTATTTTTATGAATAATCTTATCAGAGGCGATATTGATTCTGTAGATTTGGTAAGCCGCCTAAGTTTCAATGTTCCTGTTAGACTAATGCGAAACTACCATCCTATTAACTTGCCACGATGTTCATCTAATTTTAGTCAGCATGAGCCCTTTCGCGTTCTTTCTAATAATTATAACAACCTGTATCATTTAATTTGTTCCTCAACTTCTATCCCTGTACTAAAAACTAAAATCTTAGCTCATTGGCTTTAATTTTGTTGATCTATGTTTTGTCCTGTCTTTATTTGTTCTATGTACCTTCCTCGCGAACCGTATTTGCCCGAAATAAAAATGGGCCCGCGCGTAACAAGCACGTGCTTGGTGTCGTTTGGGCCACTTGTTTGTACTGCTCTTAGTGCATCAACGTTCAACAATATAAATGAGTATGTCTCGGAAACTATGAAAGATAGAGAATTCGGATTTCAGAGTTAGATTCCGCAGACTTGTACGCAGTGCAAGTTTCCTAAGCGAAAAATGCCACGCCCACTCTAGCGCCCACAAACCTCGGAATCCTCTGGCGCCCACAATTTTCATGGTAGGAAACTTTTTCAACTGAAATGAATTTGTCTCGTCAATACCTATCGATTGATAAAAAAAAGTTTGCCACGCCCACTCTAACGGCCCACATAATCATATATTGAGATCGCGGGTAGGTGGCGCATTTCAATCTCGCTTCGCTGCTTGCATATCTTCATTTCCCTTTGGTCCCTTTAGCTGAGTAACCGGTACCTGATAGTCGAGGTACTCGACTATAGCGTTCTTCATTGTTTTTATTAAAGTGAAACATTATCTTAAAACTTCTTTAACTGGTTTTTAGTTTTCTTAAAATCGGATAGGCTCTACATACAATACTCCCACGGGAACAACCTGGAAGGGTATCGGAACTTCAGCGTGCCGCAGTAAGCTTCCTTTCTTGTTTTAAGCCTAGTACTCGCATCGACGAAAACCACGAGCAACCATAGGAGTGAGCGAGAGGCAAACAGGCGGCTAACGGTTTTCGTCGGGTCTGTTTTTCAGCGCGGTACTCAGATAAGCTAAGGAATTACCAGAAAAAATACCAGATTTCGCGAGTGAATTTTCGATGAACGCCGTTAGCCGCGGCCCAAAGAATAAGAAATTTAATCTTTGGCGGTGTTCGTGCAGAAGCGGTGGGGAATTTAAAAATGGAATAAAAACCCGAAAAACGGCTTAAGGAGGTTAGTACAGATTGAAAAGGACGTATAATCCAAGCTGTGGCCCATTGTTGTGGAACTGGACCGACAGGAAGCAATACTACAACGGGCCAAATTCGCAGAACAGTCGAAGCGCTGGAGGAGATCCACGAAAGAATCCCAGTGGGAAGGAACATGGGACATCGTTCGATCTCCGACGAGCTCTCCATTGAGGACTCCACCTCCACCAGCTACTTGACAGCTATAGCGGAGATGTAGAGAGGAGAAAATATGGTCGCCCGCTAAGGGACAGCTGGAGGAGCCATCACCAGCCATTATTGGGCTGGACTGCAGATGGCGCGGGAAAGATAGCGAATCATCCGTGGGACGAGAAGGAAGCTTAAAACTACTAATTTACATAAATAAAAACATTCGTTAAACAATCAATTTATTTTTATTTAAAATTCTTTGAGTACCAGCAGACTCCTTTTTAAATTTTTCCAATTGATTTGTTTTCCGTTTGGCAACAAACCCAGCTGCTTGACGTAATACCATGCTACATGCATTGCGGGTGCACTTTGAAAACTTCGGTCACACTACAAAGAATAAGATTTTTCGACTAGTGATACTCTTGGCAGATCTGAGTACTAGGCTTTAATTCAAAATGTTGTTTAGAATTAAACAATTTTTTTAAAATTCCCTTTGGTTTATGATCATAAGCTAAATTTCTGTAAAACAAGAACTGCGCACTTTTTTTAAGTAGCATTAAATAGCATAGTAGCATTTTTTTAGAAATGACTATTATTAAGTTCCCAAATTAAACGGAGCTGGGCACAATCAAAATTGCTCAGTATTATTTCTTGCAGGCCAGGACCGTGTCCCTTTTTCCAGAAGTAAGATGCCAAGTAAGTGCGTAAGATACATACGGGTTAGTTAAAACGGAAAGTGGGACTGCACATCCGAAGAAGTTCAGTATTTCACTATGTTCAATTGACAATTCGGTTAAAACAAAAAATTTAATATATAGAGAAAAAGCAAATATAGGTGTCTTGGATCATACACGATGAAAATAGTTTTTCAGACCTCTGGGGCTATCCTTTTTACAAATAGAATACTAACCTTTTACTCAAAGCATTTCTGCTCAATCGGATATTTTCCATGTCTTCATGATTTGCGGGGATATCCATCTCCTATAACTGTTCAAATCATTACATATGAAAACGAAGAAATGAAAGATTCTTACGCGAGGAAGGCGGTATAAATGCGATCAAGAATACAGAGAGAGATCTATTTTTTTGAAATTTCAAGGGCGTACGTTTTCCCAGGAGGGTTTGGACTTCCAATAGTTGTGTTTCCATTTTTACAACGCTTGTCGGAACGGAACTATGTACCTTGACCAATTTGCTAACAGCAAATTTGAGATATCATTTGCAGCGAAAAACGTTGAAACTTTTAATGATAGTGTACTTTGTTTTTAATTTTTTTTTTCGCAAAAACTCACTATGTACTTATTTTTCCTTCGGTAACGGTTTGCTTATACCGATTAGCTATTTTTTCTTTAGCGATTCTCTGTGTGAACAAGAATCCGCTTAAGATTGTAACAGCTGTGTGTAGAGCCTATAAGGCAATAATTTTCAGAAAAAAACTAGTGGATATGAAGGATTGTATATCGATACATCGATGACTTGGTGTATCAGACAGCTCTAAGTAGAGAAGGAAAAACATCGATGTTTGGTTAGCAGACATCGATGTTTTCAAAAAGAACATTATTAGGACATCGATGTTTTGAAAAAAATATTTTTTTGCTTTTAAATAAATTACTAAAATAATATAGCGCATCTGAAAGACTTTTATGGATCACGTTTAAGAAAAAAGCCTTCAGCAAAGAATTAAAAGAAAAACGTTATCAGTATTCTAGGAGATTATATCCATATTATGGTATTATATGTGATCTAAGTTACGGAAATATATTTTCATTTTTGTTAATAAACATTACAATGTCTACGACTTTCGGCTTCAGTCTTGCGCGGCGATCCGGCAGTATCTGTACAGCTTTACTATAGCACCTCTTGGACTCACAGGAAATCCATTTATGTACATGCAACCTGCTTAAGTGATTCCTAGATATCTGCACTCGTCTAAAACAATAATGTACTTTAGAATTTGTGAAAGTAACTTAATCAAAATTCACCTTCCAATATTATAGTGGGTCGCATGCTTCAGGCTTAGTAGGATCACAGCGTCGGCTAGCGGTGAATTAATCATCGCTTTTAATTTTGAATCAAGGAATGAAGAATCCTGGGAAGGGCCGGGTTCAACTGGTGGTGTAGGCTCCATCTGCGTTGTGCATTTTTCCCTTGGATATTTCGTGTTAATGGTAATGTTATTTTAATACTATGTTAAGACAGTAAGTATCTTAATATATAAACACATTTTTCGCTTACATACCTTCCGCACCGTTTCTCTAAAATTGGTAATGTGACAAAAACATCGACTGTCGCCAAAAACATCGTTTGTCGCCAAAAGCACCAATGTTTCTAAAAAAGTGTAAACTTCGATGCATCGATGTTGTAATCGATGTTTCACCACCTCTAGCTCTAAGCGAAGCGCAGATACACATATAACAGTGCAAACAATAATCAAAATTGTATTGTTTTTTAGAGAATCAATTTGAATATGCACTGACTTAAGATTTTTGTTAAATCGGTTATATGCGACACTTGAAATTCAATAGTTTGTTTCTTTGTTCTGAGGCAATTTGTTGCAAGCCTTAGCTATACCCAAGATGGATCCTTTTGATGTTTCAGATAGGAACAGGTAAAATTTACTGTGGCTCTATAATATGTACATATATGCTGAATTTTAATATTCTTGATAGCTGGTACTTTGGTCCCATGTCCCGACAAGAAGCCACTGAAGTATTAATGAATGAGCGTGAACGAGGGGTATTTTTGGTTCGCGACAGTAACTCAATAGCAGGGGATTACGTTCTTTGCGTAAGGTAAGTCGAAAATCTAATTACATGTATGTATACTTGTCAGAAAGTCTTTCGTGTACATAACAAAACAAATGTAAAAATTCCGATATTAACGCTAATACTCCTTTAGTATAAAGTCAGTCGAACTAGCCATGTCCATCTGTTATTTTCTACGCAAACTGCGGTCTCAGTTTTAAAGCTATTGGGATGAAACCCAAAAGTCTTATTACTATATATTTTAGTCAAAACGAGCCGGATGGAACAACTATATCCTATAGCTCCCATAGGAATAGTCAAAAAACATGTACAAAATTATAACTGTTGTTTTTTGACATATTAACTTCTACTCTTGGAAATTTAATTCTTATAATCAGACTACTATATCAAATAGCTGATATAGGAAGGCTCGAAAAATGAATGTGAAAATAATACAAAGAACGATATGTTTTGCTTTAGGCAAACATATACTGTAGTTAATTAAAAATGAACATCTTAACATTTCTATAATCATTTTTTACTTTTCTTAAATTCGGAAAACTTTGTTTAATTAATGGGAATGACCTGCAAGGGTATAGAAACATTGGCTTGCCTTAGCTTAATTTCTCGTTGTTCCAAAAATGAAGTTTCACCCGTGAATCACCGTGATAAATCACCGGTGACGCGAGACGCACGCGCTCACTCCATATAGACATTTGTATGGGATGTTAAAGATGTTAATATTGACATATTTTAAATAATTAAAAATCTGACTAAATGTATATACCTAAGTGTTGGGATTCCAAGATTAGATAAGCAAATCCGCGTATTAAGTATTCCATTTTGGTTTCGTGTACGAGCATAGAGTAAGAATCTATATAGAGTCGCCAATTGCTCTGCCCGAACCTCTGCCCAACCTGTGCTAAGAGCCAATTCAAGGCCAAGTTTGAAGCTAACTTAGGTGCGAAGCAACAGCAATAGGGATTTCGATTAAAAACAAAAACAAAACAGTGAGCAAGAGCGGTGCAGAATGAGGTGGGAATGAATTACAAGTTCGATCGAACTTGTCAAAAAGAGGGGAAATAAGCATTTTTCGCCTAGGTGGCATCATAGCCTCATTATCTAAAGAGAGCGGCAGAGCAATTGGCGCCTCTATATAGTTCATTACTCTATGGTACGAGATCAGAAGTAAGAGAGCAAAATTAACCGCGTGGTTCACATTTTAGTATTACCAGAGATCGATAACACTATAATGCTGTTTTTGGTATATTATAAATTATAATGGGTTTATTCCTAGACATATTCAACACGCCCCCTCAAAAATAGCATTATAGATAAAACTAAAAATTAAAATTAATATTACATATTTCAACTTAATCTATGTGGCTTGAGCTTGCTAGTTTTTTTTATTTTAGTTTCTTTTGGGAAAGTACAACTGCCTCAGTCGATGAAGCAGCTTCTGAATATTGCCTTTTTGTATTCCAGCACATACAACATTGGTTAAATATTTTAAATAGAAACCCAGTTGTACTCTTTCTATTAATTTCATTTCGTCCCCGGTCAGAATCTGCGTACCCTACAACTATATTTTCAAAACTCATATTCTTTTTAAGTTCTAATTTTATATCAGTGTTCCTTTTAGATATCTATCCTTTCATTCATATGTTTTCATTCATATAACGACTCAAAATATTATCAGCAGTGGCCAAATCTGGACGTGTACACAACATTACATACACAAGACAACCGACTAAATTCAGACAAGGTGCATCATACCATTCATCTGAATTTAATAGTTCATAGCTAAGCTACTGACTGATTTACAGGATATTAACATGATCACTCTGCGATCTCTCATTCAGGATATTCGTATTATCAATCTCCTTACTTTTATTTAGCATATTCGTATTGTCAATCTCCTTACTCTTATTAAGGAAATTCGTATTATCAATCTTCTTACTCTCATTCAGTATATTCGTATTGTTCACGCCAAAAGGGCGTTTAATTTCAGGAGGCAGTGTCGAGCGGCAGTTTTATCCAGATGTCTACATCTCGCGCGCTCGCACTGCCGTCCGCTCTCCCTCTCCATCTCTCCCCTAAGTCTCCGCTCTGCTCTGGAGCGCTTAAGTTAAGTTAGGCTTAAGCAGTTCTTGTTTCAAAGTGATACAATACTCCCGTGTTTTTTGGGTACCACTCAATCTTGGGGCTTCAATTATTTCAACGATCAAGCCGCAGAGCTCCAACACGTATTATCAATTTTCTTACTCTTATTCAAGAATTTCACTCCACTTTTAACAGCTCTTGAATTAATAATGTTTATTGCATCTACGATTGCGTCTCTTGCGACAGTAAATTATTCATTACTTACGTTCCAAAGTTTGAAACCATTTGGTTCATAGCCAACTAAAATAGTTTTCTTTTTCTGTTTTTAATATGAACAATGTTCATTGAACATACACTGTTGAACCAAATATTTTAAATAAGGCTGTCTATTGTACTGTAAAAGTTTTTGAACTATCATCAAGTGCCATAGTCGGAATCCTGTTTGTTAAAAAGGTTGCTGTCAGAACAGCTTCACCCCAGTAGCTTCTATCTAATTTAGCACCATTTCTATTTTTTTTATGATCTTCAAAACGCAATCTGGCTTGTTTGCCATTTAAACATGCATTACATATCTCATCAACTGGATTAGCGTTATCTAAGAGATTATTGTCACCAAATAAATTATTTCTTTTAATTTCTTGCAATTTCCCTTTACTAATGTGACCTAATCTCTCATGCCATAACCGATATTCATTGTTTTTCTTTTCCACACTTAATGTATAGGCTTTACATTCACGAATTGGTGTATTGAACATATCTGGATTCTCAGCCACAATATCTTTACACCGTTACTGCCAAACATAATACCATACGTCATACCAGCCTCCTGCCGTCGCTTGACAGAAATTAAGTTTTCTGCAACATAATGAAGCACATTCTCAAGCGGGATTTTTTTTCTATTGTGCAGTCTGACAATTCCGCGCTTCGTTGCAAAAATGAATTCGCCATGCTTGGCGACAGCAATTTTTGGCGACTCCAGGTCAATGTAGTCCATGAAGAGTTTCTCGTCATTTACGAGATGATCTGTAGCACCAGAATCCAAAAAAAGTCACCTTTTGGTCGCCAGCTTTGGAAACATTTTAATCAAAACGATTATCGTTTTTAACTTGTATTATATTATTTTGCCGATTTTCGCTCCTGTGGCCAACAATTTTCTCATTAATTCATCGAAAATATTGAAATGGAAATATGTTGTCTAACTCGGCAACTTTTAGAAAAGCAATCGTTTCCTACCAGCTAATTGGGACGCAAGACTCTTGCGTTCATAGATGGCGTCCAAATTTATAAGAATTTGTCGCGCCATGTTGTCGCTTGTCGCAAAATATAGAAATCACTAAAGTCACGCTCTGCCTTTTCCAGGAATCGTCAATCTCATCACGAATATTCTGGTAGGTACTTTTAAAACATCCAATTCGGCGAATAGAATCCTGATTCCGAATTACCGCGCCTTTTCCATGGTAATTTACACAAACACACAGCTTTATGTATGGATGGCAAACAGTATTTCAGAACGTTACGCAAACAAAACTGTTTCTCAAACTAATTAAAATGTCACTGATCTGAATATTTTAGACGTGGCCTAGGCCAAGTATAGATAAACAAATCAGCGTATTTGGTATTCAATTATATTTTCGTTTATTTAGCACACACAATCAACAATCAACTACAGCTTACGAGATCAGAAAATAAGAGAGACGAATTAACTACGTGGTTCACGTTTTAATGTTACCAGAGATCGATAGCATTGTAATGCTGTTTTTGGTATATTATAAATTATAATGGGGTTATTTCTAGACTAAAAAATAACATTGCAATAGTAATGTATAATAGAAAAAGAAACCAGTATAGGTAAATTCAATTTACTTAATTTAACTTGATCAAATAATTTACTTTTATAAAACAAATAGATTTTTTCGAAGTACAATAATGCTCCTAAAATATTAGGACATTCACATGTCGCTGCGCCACAAATATTTGTCCGCCAAAATTTTGTTCGCTAGCTAAACAAAACGGAGACGGAAAAAAATAAGGGACCGGCTGAAATTTATTTCTGCGACCGAGCCGAGATTAAGATTAATAAGGGTCCCAACCGGAAACCTTACACACTTCAACCCTTAAATCACACCTTTTGGTTGTTTTGATGTACACGAAGCATTAAATGTTAGCTTTGGGTGGCCGGTTTTACGGAGAATGCTTGTGTCAGTATGCGCGTTTTTATACTTGTTACTTATAGAGAAAAGGGGTATATTGTATTCGTCGAAAAGTATGTAACAGGTAGAAGGATCACTAGCCCAGTCGATCTAACCATTTCTGTCTGTCCGTATGAAAATACGTTTTCTTCTTTCAATCAGAAGATTTTGATATACTCATACGAGGGTTGCTATACATATTTGTAGCCTAATAATGAAAATGCGAATGTTTATCATCAAAAATGGTATTATTGTATTTCAAAAGATTCTCTAGCAAGATATGAACACTTGCATGCGCTCAAACCAATTATAGAAGCACTTTTTCCACTCCGATTGAAACACCTTCAAAACATGGTTTTCGAACGCTTTAACAGTATCTTCTGACGACGAAAATCGATGACCACGGATTTTTCTCTTGATGTGTGGGAATAACTGGATGTCCAGTTAATTTGACTTTTTGGCAGCTAATAGCCGATATATCCGCCATTATTTTGCAGGACTTTCTCCATTCGTCTTGGCATGGAGGATATTAGCTTGGGACATGTTCCAATTGGAATATTGTACCATGCTCTTTGGACAATATCCCAAAGCGGACTTTTATTTTGACATAAAGTCTTTCCCACCTCTCTTTTGAGTTCACCCCAGAGATTCTCGATGGGATTGAGGTCCGGGGATTGACTTGGCCACTCAAGAACATCCACATTTTGCTCTCGGAACCAATCCTTTACTACTCGAGAGGCGTGCTTCGGGTCATTATCCTGCTGGAACTTCCATAAAAGTGGCATATCATCCTCGGCATATGGTAGCATCACCGTCTCCAACATATCTTTGTAAACAAATCTGTCCATTATTCCGTCAATGGGATGAATCGGACCAACACCATACCATGAAAAGCAGCCCCATACCATTAGGCTACCACCACCATGTTTCACAGTCTTATATGTGTATTTAGGATCAAATTCTTTGCCTTTCGGACGACGAACATTCCTTTTGGCATCATTTCCAAATAAATTTATTTTGGTTTCATCACTCCAGAGGATATTACGCCATTTTTAACCAATTGAATAATGCGATCGGCGGTCTTAGATGATGATTTCTAGGTGCTCCCCGACTTTCACCTATTTTTTTCCGGTTTTAAGGCATTGGTTACGAAGTTTTGAGAACGTTTCATTAGCATGGCAATGGATTTATACGTTTTTCCTTCATCTCGGAGTCGTCGAATGAGCCTTCTCTCCTCCGCACTGCAGTGACGCCCACGGCCCATTTAATACAATTTTAATGGACAATTAAGTCCTTAATTAGGTATATTTTTCTAATACCTTACCTTGTGCAACCAAATAATTGTACTAATAAGTAACAGGTTAATGATTTGGTTAATGCACCTATTTCATTGACCAGCCGAGATTGCAGTCTCAGCAATAAAACATTCCACATTTTTTCCCAGAAGCTTATTAATTCCGGGAATTCACCAAATTCGTACCGAAACAATGTGACCATATTAAAAAGTATCGCTTCCATATTAAATGTTATGTTTACATTGATTTAAGTCGATATTAAAAAAAAAATCTTCACACCTATTATATTGTCTATGAGTGTATCACATGACGGTCTTGCATAATCAGTTAACGCATGGCATAAAAGTTCTCTGTCACAACGACTTCTTTTGGACGACCTTCATGACCTTCGTCTTCAAGCGAGCGTCGGCAACGATTTAACTCATTAAACCAGTTTTTCACAGCTATATAGGATGGTGCTTTATCACCATACAAAGACTTAAGATCATCGATGCGCACTTGTCCGGATTATCCACGATGAAAGTTGTGAAAGTTGAGAACAGAAAAATGTTCATGAGTTAATTCCATTTTTCTGCTAAGGTAAGTTTTTGATTAATCGTTAATCAATATCAAACGTGGTCACAAATAAAAAAGTTGTGTGTCGCCTTTATCGATAAAAGTCGAAACTTTTTTGGGAAAAGACAATTGACCCTAATATGACTAGAAGGTGACCTAGGCCAGAGACTTAAATGAATAATATACAAAACATTGGTTTTAATGTTTTTTTGAGTCTCCGAAAAAATGGTTAAATAATTCCAACTGGACTCCGTATTTCGATAAAATATTTTGCAGACCATTGGGTTAAAAAAAATATAAATATACATATATTATCAAAATCTTTAAATCGTTTTCAAAATATAGTTTTATAAAAACTATAATGGGTTTTAACAAATTTGGAACGATACGTTGTAATTTTAAATTTATCTATCACTGTGGATGGTAGACACCATAGTGCCGAATCGCAAAAATCAAAATATTGAAAATCTGCTACGAAACAAGTAATACACCGATCGAAATATATCGCGATTTTTTTTTTAATATTTGCAATAACTTGACTGGCTTAGAAAAAAATGCGACTAAGAAGAAAATAGTGAAATTTAAAAGATTTAAGATTGGAAAACTGGAGAAGTATAACTTACATATCTTTTCATTTTTTCATATTCTTTACGGAAATAGGCGTCATTGCAATACGATAATTCATTGCAAAGTTATGCAATTTAAATTAATTCTAGGCCATTTGTTTTGAATTTAGACCAATACGTGTGATTGACTGTTTGCCTTATATTTTTTGATCGGGTCCTGAATTAATTTTTGTCGAATTAGAACGATTGAGATTCCTGTGTTATTGATTATAATCTGGAAGTTTAGATCTGTTCTGTTAACGTTGAGATAAACTGACACGTGTAAATTATAAAAAATTTTAAAAAATTAAATAATTTATTTTATGTTTATTCAGAGAAGATACAAAAGTTAGCAACTACATCATTAACAAAGTTCAACAACAGGATCACATCGTTTACCGCATAGGGGATCAATCTTTTGATAATCTACCGAAACTATTGACATTTTATACACTTCATTACTTGGATACAACCCCTTTAAGACGACCTGCGCTTAAAAAAGAGGAAAAAGTTATAGGAAAGTTCGATTTTGTTGGCAGCGTGAGCATTTAAAAATTATAATATTTTTTCGAAATATATTAATACATTTTACTTTTTTGAAGGACCAAGACGATTTACCGTTTCAAAGAGGTGAAATTCTTACAGTAATTCGAAAAGACGAAGATCAATGGTGGACTGCCCGAAATTCATCGGGGAAAATTGGGCAAATTCCGGTTCCTTATATATGTCAGGTACGTAAAATAAAATTTTACAGTCCTGTAACTGTTGTCCAAATATTTTACCCCTGCAGAGACTATAATGATTTCAGTCAGAAAGTTGCAATGCAGTGATGGATATGGTTGTCCGATCCTATTCCTTCCACCTTATATACCTGCAATAAAATGTAAACTTTTGGGAAAGTTTCATCGCGATAGCTTTAAAACTGAGAGACTAGTTTGCGAGAAAGCGGATGGACAGTGATCCTCGGCTAGTGATCCTGATCAAGAATATATTTACTTTATAGGGTTGGAAACGCTTCCATCTACTTGTTACATACTTTCCGACGATTCTGGCATACCTTTCTACTCTACAAGCAATTGGTTTAAAAATAATACAATAATGTATATCTTCCTATCTGTGACTTTCAAAGTAAACGGTCGTGTTTATTATCTGCGCTCCGAATTTATATTTTTTTTTCATATTTGCCTTAGTCGGCTTAAATCAAAACTTTTAATATTCGGTCCCGAAATTTCGTTCGCTTTGCGAGTGAATTTATTCTATTCTCTTCACAATCTTAATTAATCCATTTACAATTTGTATTTTCTGTTCTGTTTTTTGTTCTTGAGATTATATTGCATTCCTTTGTGTGTTATCCGTCGAGGCTATAGTGCTGGTTTGTGTTATTGTTTCTGCATGCGCATTAACTGTCCAAAGTAGCACCTGTTACTTATCCCGAAGACCCATATCATCCTTCGTTGAGGTCTCAATCGACACTGGTGCTGTGTTAGTCGAAAATCACAGAAGTCAACTAAGCGATTTCATTGGTTTCGCAAGGCTGAATTTCGTAGGCTAAACTTTTATATATCAGGCTTTGATTGGTTTGATCTCTACTCATCCCAAAATACGGATGATGCTTTAAATATTTTCTATACTACAGTAAATTCGTTTTTCAATCCGTCGGCCTCCAACAAACCACCTTGGTTCAGTACAGAGTTGACATACCTAAGAAATAAGAAGCCCAGACTATATAAGAAATTCAAAGATACCGGTTCTCAATCTATTTATTCTAGATCAGCGGTCGGTAGCGGCCTATTAAGTAAGCATAGGGAATTGTTCTGCCCATCCGCTGCTCGCTCACGTATGTATAACGTAGATGTTCGTGTGACTTCGGCATGGGTCTTCGGTTCTTTTTTTTCTCAGCTTCGGCGCGCTTTTTTTTGCTACTGCGGCAGAGGTTCGCAGTGCGAAGCTGAGAAACGTCAGGCATCAACGCGAGTGTTTTTTACACTCACACTAAAGCAAGGCAAACTTGTGATGGTATGTGTGTGCCGACCGCTGTTCTAGATACTTAAGTGCTCGGTCTAGTTTTACCATGCTTAACTCTTTAACTATTTAAAACGTTGTAAAATCCAAATCTCTCAAAATTCGAAAAAGGTATTTTATACTGTTAGCATGAGGCGTAAATCCACCTTCATCGCTATCTTTTGAAACTATTACTGCAATAACTGATCAGGCCAAGTTTGCCAAGTTTTTTCTAACGACATATTCTAATTTACCTCATTCTTCACAGATTTATTTTTACACTGTATACAAGTCGAAATTTATATGCTGTCCCACCTTAAACGAAAGCTCTCTAATTTTTGATCTTCAACGTGTTAAGCCCGTCTATTCACCTGGTCCCGATGGAATTCCTTGCTGCGTGCTTAGAAGAGGCGGAGACCCCTTCTCAAATTGTTAACGTTATCTTTAGAATCCTCAAAATTTCCCCATATGTGGAAGGAGTCGTTTATAATTCCTCTCCACAAGAAAGGTAGCAAAGTGCATGCAAATAATTATAGAGGTATCACTAAATTTTCAGCGATCCCAAAGCTTTTCGAAAATATTATTAATTTTCATTTGCATAACCTCTGTAGGTCTGTTATATCTCCGTGTCAACGCGGGTTTCTGAAACGTAGATCAACAAACATTAACCTTTTGGAATTTACGAGGGTGGTCCGATAAGTACTTAGCCTCCAAAAGAAAAACGAAAATTTTGGAAAAGTGGTGAATTATTTCTCAACATAATCTCCTTTTAGCTCGATACACTTGACCCAGCCATGCTCCAACTCTAACCCGTCGGAAAAATACTTTTTCTCGAGGTCAGCAAAGTAGGCCTCTGTCGCGGCAACGACCTCCTCATTTGACTCAAATTTCTGTCCAGCGAGTGACCTTTTCAAGTTTGGAAACAAAAATAAGTCACACGGGGCCAAATCTGGAGAATATGGTGGTAGTCGATGTAGATCACACCTTGTAAATCCCAAAAAACGGTGGCCATCACCTTTCCGGCCGATGGGACAGTCTTCGCCTTCTTCGGAGCAGGTTCGCCGGGTGAAGTCCACTGTTTCGACTGTTCCTTGGTCTCGGGTGTGAACCAGTGGATCCATGTTTCGTCGACGGTCACGAAACGACGCAGAAACTCCTTCGGATTGCGCTTAAACAGAGTCAAACACTGCTCTGAAGTGGTCTCACGGTTGCGTTTGTTGTCCGGAGTGAGCAAACGCGGCATCCATCGCGCCGACAGCTTTCTCATGCCCAAAATTTCTTCTGTCTCAGCTATCTCTCGTATCTCCAATCGGCAGTCTGCCAATACGAGATCGTGGATTTTTGTCACGTTGTCCTCCGTGGTAGCCGTTTTCGGGGCACCTGGGCGTGGCTCATCAAAAACGAACGTGCGAACACGTTGAAACTCGTTAAACCAATTTTTGAGGGTCGCCATCGAAGGAGAAGAGTCACCGTACTCAGCATCGCTGCGGGATTTCCCCTCCAAAAACAAGAATCGAATCACAGACCGATATTGCTCTTTCTCCATTTTTCTAAAATCCGCGGACACGTCCGAATCCACACGCAGTCAAAACAAAACTACGAATCCGATTAGGCTGAAATTTCGACAGTAGCCGTCTACGAGAATGTACTACACGATAGAAAATTTCTCTTGCGATAGTGACGCCATCGGGCGGTGAGGCTAAGTGCTGTAAGTAAGACTGCCCTCATACATCATTTGTAAAAAGGGGATAAAATAAATATATTTACAAGCAGACGTCATTTATGTTACACCGACTTTAGTACAGCATTTGACTCTGTGAATCACGTTCTTCTGAGTACATTGAGTATTGTTCACCCGTCAGGAGTACCCAATACAGAATTCATGTTGATCGTATTGAATCTGTACAAAAGAAATTTTTGATATTTGCTTAAAGGCGCCAAAACTTGGATGGAAACCTACTTTTACCTTCTTATTCTTATCGATAAGTGTCTACCTATTTACAAAATATAAAAATCCGAAATCATGTGTTGTAATCGCTAGATGGCGCTCAGTAATTGGAAAAAGGCGCTTTGCTGATTGCATATCCATCTCCCTTGCACTTCCTTTATCTGATAGTCGTGGCACTCGACTATATCGTTCTTCCTTGCTTGATATTGTACTTCACTAAAATCGAAATATATTTATTTTAAAAAAATGACACAAATTGTTATAAAGATGACGGACTATAGATTGTGTCAAATCATGCGTGAAAAACCCTAATTTATCGAAATAAAATACTCTCAGGCCTGGACAACCAAATTATCTTAATTCTATGTTATTATTAGTGTTACTATGTGCTTCTAGTTTTTCAAACAAGCATACTAGCTACTGAGCTAAAAACATTATTTCGACCACAATACTTTAACTTGAGATATTTTGAAATCAGATTCAGCTACAGCCCAAACTTAGGCGGTCGTTTATAATCTAAACGTATGCCACATTGCTATACCTGTGACTGCTAAATACGTCAATAGTACTGTCAGTTCTTCCGAAATATAAGTAGTACCGTCTTAACCTTTTAACCAAATTCTAGCTCTTTCACTCTTAATGCTTTCATGTAGTCTACAATATTTAATATTTTTTATAGCATGATGATGATGAAGATGCAGTAAAAATTATTGCCGCTTTTAATTTGCGTGGAAGCACACTTAAGAGGACAGATCTAAACGTAAGTATTCAAATTTAAATTCCATAATAATAATAATGTTTTTATAAAATAAATAATATAGCGCAAACTGCCTGCATACGCCCGCGTAAAACAGTCAAGGGTTCCAAACGCCTATGATAAGACTGCATTGAAATTGGAAATTGGTGATATAATTAAAGTCACTAAAACAAATATTAATGGACAATGGGAGGGGGAACTAAATGGAAGAAATGGTCACTTCCCATTCACGCACGTTGAATTTGTCGATGATTGTGATTTAGGAAATAACTCCACGGAAGTACGGTAAATGGCGATAGGAGCGAATGGATAGACCAATGAACCATTCTGGATCATTTTTGTTTTTAAGTTAATTGTATGAAAATTAAGTTCTGCAAACCAATTGTTAACATAATCAGAAAATTAAATAATCAATAATTTAAAGGGACCTTGGGTCTAATTGGGTATGTAATCGGGTAATCTTTTCTTTCTGTATCTCGGTGCTTTCAGGCCGACCACGACGAAGGCATGGTACAATGCAAAATTAAAGTTGCATTGCGTCGCAAGATTTTATACATGTTGTTATACCCGTTACTCGTAGAGTAAAAGGGTATACTAGATTTGTCGGAAAGTATGTAACAGGCAGAAGGAAGCGTTTCCGACCCCATAAAGTATATATATTCATGATCAGGATCACCAGCCGAGTCGATCTAGCCATGTCCGTCTGTCTGTCTGTCCGTCTGTCCGTCTGTCCGGATGAACGCTGAGATCTCGGAAACTATGAGAGCTAGGCTATTGAGATTTGGCGTGCAGATTCCTGAGCTTCTTACGCAGCGCAAGTTTGTTTCGGCACAGTGCCACGCCCACTCTAACGCCCACAAACCGCCCAAAACTGTGGCTCCTACAGTTTTGATGCTATATAGAAAATTTTAACTGAAATGTAATGTTCTCATCAATACCTATCGATTGACCCAAAAAAAGTTTGCCACGCCCACTTTAACGCCCACAAACCGCAAAAACCTGTGACGCCCACAATTTTCATGCTAGATAAGAAATTTTCACTGAAATGTGTTGGTCTCGTCAATACCTATCGATTAATCCAAAAAAAAATTTGCCACGCCCACTCTAACGCCCATAACGCTTAAATCTGTATACCGCCGGTAGGTGGCGCATTTTAATCTCGCTTTGCTGCTTGCATATCTCCATTTAGCTGAGTAACGGGTATCTGATAGTCGAGGTACTCGACTATAGCGTTCTCCCTTGTTTTTATTGAATAGTATGTAACAGGTAGAAGGAAGGATAACTAGCGCTGTGCAATCTTGGGAGCACTCGCTTTGATATCTCCATCTCCCTCGCACTCTCCTTAGCCGAGAATCGGGTATCGAGTTCCTCGACTACTACCTGTTACTCAGTTGTTTAATAAAATACTTGGTCGAATAGCTTTGTTTGAAATAGTTATACTTTCTGCGCCGTTCAAATTGCAATTACATAACTATTGACTGGCTTTGACGTAATAGCAAACTTTACACAAAATATTCTGGTTCGTGCGGTTTATGTCATAAAGATAGGTGATGTAATGTAATCATGAACATGTAATAAATCCCAATTTACCCTAACAAAATCATTGAGAATAAGTAAGGTGTCGGCGACACCAAGCGGATGGTAGCGCTTCTAGTGACCGTACAAGAATTTAACTTATAACATTAGCTATTCATAAGTTTTAGACTAATATTGTGATCGGTATTATTAGTGACTTATAAAATTTGCGCGCCAGGCAGACTTTAACGTTGTGGAAGTTTTACCTGTTACAAACTTACAATATACTCGTAGACTAAAAAGGTACTAGGCTACACATGTAACCTTGCGCAAATTTAATCCCGATGGCGCTGAATCAGACAAGTTAGCCTGGTGTACAACATCCGACCTCATATTTGCAAACCATGTTCTAGAGGGCAGCGGTTTGGTGACTACTTTAAGCAATTGTTGGCACACATAGCCAGCTTATTGACAACAGTTTGTTGCGCTGGATATATACCACAAGCAGCAATGAGCTACAACAACAACTGCAATCTCACGCTTTTAAGAATCGTAATGCGGAAGAGAATGCAGATTCAACTGGTCCAGAGCGGAAGAAGTCCAAGTTCCAAGTGAAATGTCACCACTGCGGAATAATATTAACGACTGCAAAAAGGACAGAACGCAAGAGGAAACAAGAAAGGAAGTTAGCTTCGGCAAGCCGAAGCTTATATACCCTTGCAACTATAACTATTAAATTTAAAAAAACAAAAAATTATATTCCCAATAGTATAAGATAATATGTCAAAAAACACCGAAGCTATAATTTGTTTCATATTATTTTCCTACCAATTTTCCGATCGTTCCTATGGCAGCTATATGATATAGTCGTCCGATTTTGATAAAATTAAATTCGAAATTCAGATCTAATTAAAAAATGTTATTTCCAAGCGAAGGAGGTTATATGTTAAAAAACACCGAAGCTATAATTTGTTTCATATTATCTTCCTACCAATTTTCCGATCGTTCCTATGGCAGCTATATGATATAGTCATCCGATTTTGATAAAATTAAATTCGAAATTCAGAACTAATTAAAAAATGTTATTTCCAAGCGTTGGAGGTTATATGTTGAAAAACACCGAAGCTATAATTTGTTTCATATTATTTTTCCACCAATTTTACGACCGTTCCTATGGCAGCTATATGATATAGTCTTCCGATTTTGATAAAATTAAATTCGAAATTCAAAACTAATTAAAAAATGTTATTTCCAAGCTTAGGAGGTTATATGCTAAAAAACACCAAAGATATAATTTTTTTAAATTTGTTTTTCCTATTATTCCTATGGGAGCTATAAGATATAGTTGTCCGATCCGGCTGGTTCCGACTTATATACTACCTGCAAAAGATATAAGACTTTTGGGAAAGTTTCAGCCCGATAGCTTTAAAACTGAGAGACTAGTTTGCGTAGAAACGGACGGACAGACGGACATGGCTAGATCGACTCGTCTAGTCATGCTGATCAAGAATATATATACTTTATGGGGTCGGAAACGTCTCCTTCACTGCGTTGCAAACTTCTGACTGAAATCAATATACCCTCTGCAAGGGTATAAAAATCAGAACGGGAGCAGTAACTTTGAGGTGAAGGGTCGAGTCGATATACGTCGTTTCAAGTGCAACTAAAAGGGAAACTACGCTACATCATGTTGTTGCACATTACAAAATATTTCTGATATAAATGTTGAAGAAATTAAGAAATGTAGAGATTTCATTGCATGTGGTAAACTTCAAATAAGATGTTTTGATTGGCCGCGAAATATTAAGTCAGTCAATACAAAAAGAGTTTATGTCGTAATTATGAAAATCCTGTAGATTCCGATAAGACGGCATTAAAAACATTTTAAAACGCCATTCCGATTTGTTTAAAGGCGGAATACCACAGACTCGTGTAATGACAGGGCATTTGGAAATTAAGTTAATAGATCCCCAAAAGACAGTGCAGCGCAGGCTATATAGACTTAGCGAAGATGAGAAAGAGCATGTACGTTATAAAATCGATGAGCTTCTGAAATCTTTTGTTACTCGCCCCAGCTGTTCACCTTTCGGTAGTCCGATGATGCTCGTTAAAAAGAAAAACGGTAGTGATCGTTTTTGTATTGATTTCCCTGCTTTAAATGATCACCCATTGCCTCTAATTTCAGACCAAATGGCTATGTTACTTGGGGCAAGCAATTCCTCATGTCTCGATATGGTCAGCGGCTTTTATCAAATACAGGTACATTCATTCAATTAAGCGATCCCCCAGGGATGACTGAGGGACAAAATGAATTTTTGAATATGCCTTTTGGTTTGAAAAACGCTTCTTCTGTGTTTTAGCACGCTTTATATACAGCTTTGGGTAATCTTTCATACACTTACGCCATCGTGTACATCGATGATGTTTAACTGTAGCGGAAACTAAGGATGAAACTTTACCGATTGCAGATTGTGCTAGAAAACTTGAGCAAGGATAGATTTTCATTTAACGTAACGAAGTGTTCCTTTCTTAAAACTCGGGTTGAACACCTTTGAATAATTGAAGTGAGCAATTCATTTTAAAATACCTTACCTCAAAGAAACATTCTGATTTCGTTTGGCTGTTAAAGCATGAAATATTTCGCTAGTAATTAATATCTGTTTTAACCCAGGAGTCGGTGCCAACAATATTAGACCCTCAGCACTCGATAGAACTGCACACGTGGGCCAGTACAATCGGATATGGGCAATATTTATACATAGAATAGATAAAAAGCTGAAATTATTCCACTTATGGAATTAATAAACAATTGTTGAAATTCAATCTAAGCCATATTCTGGCCGAGGTTTGTTGGATAATATTTTTGAATTAAGAAGTCAGTCTATTTCGGATTGAAGGCGCGATCGGACAATCCAAAAAAGATAGAAAGTAAAAGTGTCTGGTGTCCTGATGTTAAGTTAAGTAAACTAAAGTCTAACATAAAATAAAAATAAAAAATTTAATTTTTTAAAATCATCGCCTAATCATAAAAATAATTGGCGCCCAACGTGGGGCTGCGTCATCAAAAGTTGAAAAAACAATTTATTAAAAATAGACATCAACATTTTTAGTGGGAAAATTAAAACATCCACCAACGGCACGTAACAAAGTGACAGTAATAGTTTTAAATTTAAAAAGAAAACAATTTATGAAATAAACAATTTAAAAGTATTAAGTGGATTAAAAGGGGACCGAAGATCTAACTCACAAGTAAAATATTAAGAACACTTTAACAGATAAATTTCAAACGCACAAAAAATAAAATTTGTTTAAACTAAAAAACGATCAAAACCAAATGAAAACAACTCTAAGAAAACACCAGCATTTTCACCAACAATTGAAAGAAAGAAAAGCCCACAACCAGAATGAAGGCCCCGTCAGAGAGTATCTAATAGCACAGGCTGAATTAGTTCAGCCAGATTATAGTAAATAATTTACAACCGACGCGTTGTACTAAGTCAAGATAATAAACCAATTTTTTTTATTTTAAGAACATTGAACAAAACAACTTAGTGTCACAAAAAAATGAATTTTTAGCCATGGTATGGACAAGACACATATTTGAATATGATACAGTTGAGAATTTAGTAATTATGTTTAGGGAGTATCTTCCACCTTACGTAACTGTTGCAATTCATTGTAGTTTAGAAGATTTATATCATATTCAAGTATCTTTAAAAAATAATTTTACTAACAAATTTCTTTTTACGCGAATAATTCTTCAGGACAAAGAAAATGCTTAAGATAGAGCTATAACAATAGAAGAATCACACAGTCGAGTTCAAACAAATCATTAGATTATATTATTAACCCAATTTATATACAAAACTAAAAGAATATTTTAAAAATTGTAAAAATTGCAGTGAAAACAAATATATTGGAGAAGCTCCAGTACCAACTAAATAGGGAGAAAACTAACATATTGATATATACTATGCGCAAAGTCTAATGTTTATAACTTGTATCGACTTGTATCCTACAAGTTAAAGAAATTCAATATAAATTAAACATTGAATATAAGGTAATGGAACTACTTCAACAATTTATCCAGGCCTAAGTACTTATGACCCATAGTGAACCGAGCTTTACCTCGGCCCAATTGAAGTATTTTGCACAAAGGTGCGGATTAACTTTACACTACGCAAACCAGTGGCACAGTACCTAAAACGGACAGGTTGAAAGGGCACATTCGACATTGATTGATTTTTTGTCTTATTCAGGCATTTATTGCGAGTGTCTTGTGTTTGTTTATTAACAAAGCTTAGCCTAACAGTTGTTATTGTTTTTAACTCGATTTTCCAGTAAACGGGTATGTGGATATAGTTATTTTAACACTTCTGTTAGATTTGTTTAATCTCCTTGCTTTGTTAGTGTAATTTACACTCTCTAAACTTGCTAAAACTCTTTTATTCCTTCCCTCTCTCCTGCTCTTTATTACAACTGTAATTTACACTCTCTCTGATCCTGCCGAACTTCTGGTAGACTTTTGGTGTGCTATTCTCTTATTGTCTCCCTCTTGCTTTCCTTACATTGTAACTGTTCGTGCGTAAGGGTGTCAGTGTCCTACAAGCTACGCTCAGTCGATAGAAGATTTATTCTCTCGTGCTCTCTTACATTTAATTTAATACGCGATCTTGCGTTCTTATTATACCCGTTACTCGTAAAGTAAAAGGGTATACTAGATTGGTTGGAAAGTATGTAACAGGCAGAAGGAAGTGTTTCCGATCCCATAAAGTATATATATTCTTGATCAGGATCACTAGCCGAGTCGATCTAGCCATGTCCGTCTGTCCGGATGAACGCTGAGATCTCGGAAACTATAAGAGATAAGAGAACTATATGAGATTTGGCGAGCAGATTCCTGAGCTTCTTACGCAGCGCAAGTTTGTTTTAGCAGAGTGCCACGCCCACTCTAACGCCCACAAACCGCCCAAAACTGTGGCTCCTACAGTTTTGATGGTAGAATAAAAACTGAAATGTATTGTTCTCATCAATACCTATCGATTGACCTAAAAAATTTTGCGACGCCCACAATCCGCCCAAACCTGTGACGCCCACAATTTTCATGCTAGATACAAAATTTTAACTAAAATGTATTGCTCTCGTCAATACCTATCGATTGATCAAAAAAAGTTTGCCACGCCCACTCTAACGCCCATAACGCTTAAATCTACCGCCGGTAGGTGGCGCATTTTAATCTCTCTTTGCTGCTTGCATATCTCCATTTCCCTTTGGTCCCTTAAGCTGAGTAGCGGGTATCTGATAGTCGAGGTACTCGACTATAGCGTTCTACCTTGTTTTTTTCGTGTTTTGTGCCTTTGTGGTTTTGGAATTTGATCCCAGTGCCAAATTTACTTGAGGTATTTTTCATTTACTATCTTATTTTATTTAATTTTCTTTAAATGGCTCCTGTCTGTTCTAAGAAACATTTGTACTCTTCCGTCTTAAACTAAAGACCTTTTTATTTTCTGCTGGCTCTGCGAATCGATGATGCACGTTAAATGTGCAGGATTTACTGACAGAGTCGAAGACTTTATTGATCTGAATTCTGGTCTCATGTGTTCATGCGGATCCTGCAAGAAAATGGTAGTTGAGATGAGATAATAATAAAAAATTACTAACTGAGTCGCCCAAACGCAAAAAAAGCCATCTTAGCGGCCGTTAATACGATCACGGTATCCACCCCAAATCCGAAGTGGCAGCATTTTCTGTTGACACAGGGGTAAGTGAGCCAACTGTGCCTATGGATACAGCTAATTCCGGTGAAGTCACTGTTTCTGGAAGTCTGGTGGTAAAAAAATCTTTAGTGCTGGCTAAGTCAAACAATTCGGCGCCGACCGCAGCTATAGGTACAGAAGGTACCGTATCTGGCTTTCAGCTTAGTGAGGTTCAGACTGCTGCTGGGGGACGTAAGAAATTGTCAGTTGTTCCACATAGGAAGCAATTATTTGTTTCTAGATTCACCCCAGATACCACATCTGTATATTCCTACATTCCACTTGGCTCTGATTTAATAATTTATGAGCACCATCTGTCTGCGATAAAATCTGTTCTATACCTTTTTTCTAACAGAGACCTTTTGATTGTTTTGCGTGACTTTAATATCCTTGATATTTCTTGGTCTCCTCCTACTGACTCACTTGTCGCTATACCCTTATCCGTCCATGATTTTGAAGATGGCCTTTTAGAATTATCGTTACAGCAAGTAGACAATTAGATCTTGTGTTTGCTTCAGTCCCGTCTGAATTCACGGTATCTAGAATTGACGCTCTTGTTTAACCTGAAGACCGATATCATCCAAAAATCGAGTTGACAATCTGCCTCCCTTGCGTTGATACCCTCTCTCCTTTAGTTTCTCCAACTAAAATGAGATGTTTTCGAAAATGTGACTATAATAAACTTAACGATATGATTTCTCAATATAATTGGACAGACTTGTACAATTGTATGGATATTGAAAGTGCCACTGAACTATTCTATATAGTGTTAAATACTTTTTTTAACGAATGCGTTCCTGATAGGCTTCCTTCAAGGCTAAACAGGCCTCCATGGTTTACCAATGCGCTTCAAAGACTTAAAATTTAAAAAAAAAAAAAAAAAACTATACAAAATCTGGTAAGCCATTTTATTTTTCGGAATATGTGATGGATCGATCGGATTTTAATGTTCTCAATAGTCATTGCTGTATTTAAGTCGATGTAAAATTGAATTTTCAAATGATCCGAAGCAGTTTTATAACTTTCTTAATGCCAAGCGTATGTCATCGGCATTGCCTTCATGGAACGTTTAATCGCAATGGGGGCATCGACGGGATCTGAATCTGCTGATTTATTTGCCGAGTTTTTATCAAATTCTAACTACCCAAATCCCTTAAATACGGCAAATTGTAATTTACCCCAGAAATTACGGAAAGTTCTCTCTTAAGAGATTTAGCAACAACAACTCCAACTTATTCTCCCGGTACAGATGGACTCCCTGGGTGTGTGCTTTAGTTTTGTGCGTCAACCATGTGTAAACCGATTCATAAACTTTTTAATTTGCCTATTTTATTATCAGTTTTTCCTACTATCTGGAATGACTCTTTTATCATTCCACTTCACAAAAAGGGTGCGAAGGCGGATGCCCAGAATTATAGAGGTATTTCTAAATTGTCGGCAATTACATACATTACATATTATCACTTCTCATTTGCAACATTTATGTTCCTCGCTAATATCACT